GTCCACAAGAGCCAAAGTATGACCTTGAATACATTGCTCCTGAATTTAGAGATCATCTAAAGAATAGATATGATGGATTGAACACTAATGACCAAAAACCAGAGGAATTATGGGATGGCATCAAGAATATCATCCATGAAGAAAGCAAAAAGTCATTAAAAAGACAGGAAGGGAAGAAAAGGCCAAACTGGATGTCAGAAGAGACTCTGAAACTTGTCTTTGAATGGAGAATAGCTAAAGCAAATAGAAGAAATGACAAGATAAAAGAGCTGAACAGAAGATTTCAAAATGCAGCTTGAGAAGACAAAGTCAATTATTATAATGAAATGTAAAAAGACCTGGAGTTAGAAAATCAAAAGAGAAGAACACGCTCAGCATTTCTCAAGCTGAAGGAACTGAACAAAAAAATGAAAACTTTGAGCTGCAATACTGAAAATTATATAGGCAAAATATTGAATGATGCAGGAAACATCAAAAGAAGATGGCAGGAATACACAGAGTCACTGTACCAAAAAGAATAGGTCAATATTCATCCATTTCAGGAGGTGGCATATGATCAAGAACTGATGGTATTGAAGGAAGAAGTCGAAGCTGCACTGAAGGAAGTTGGGAAGAACAAGGATCCAGGAATTGACAGAATACCCAGTGAGATGTTTCAACAAATGGATGCCATGCTGGAGGCACTCACTCAGCTATGCCAAGAAATTTGGAAGACAGCTACCTGGCCAAATGATTTTGTACCCATTCCAAAAAAGGTGATCCCCCAGAATGTGGAAATTATCAAACAATATCAATGATATCACCCACAAGTAAAATCTTGCTAAAAGATAATTCAAAAGTGGTTGCAGCCGTATATTGACAGACAACTTCCAGAAATGTAAGCTAGATTCAGAGGAGGATGTGGAATGAGTTATATCATTGCTGATGTCAGATGGATCTTGGCTGAAAGCAAAGAATACCAGAAAGATGTCTACTTGTATTTTATTGACTATGCAAAGCATTTGATTGTGTGGATCCTAACAAATTATGGATGACATTGAGAAGAATGGGAATTCTAGAGCACTTGCTTATGTTCATCAGGAATCTGTACATAGACCAAGAGGTTGTCATTTGAACAGAACAAGGGGATACTGACTGGTTTAAAGTTAGGAAGGGAGTGCATCAGGGTTGTATCCTTTCACCATACTTCTTTAATCTGTATGCTGGAAAAATAATCCAAGAAGCTACACTATATGAAGAAGAATGTGGCACTGGGATTGGAGGAAGAGTCATTAACACCTTGAGATATGCAGATGACCCAACATTGCTTGCTGAAAGTGAGGATGACTTGAAGCATTTGCTGATGAAGATTAAAGACTACAGTCTGCAGTACGGTTTACATCTCAGCATAAAATGAAAATCCTCCAAAACTGGACCAATAAGCAGCATCATAATAAATGGAGAAAAGACTGAAGTTGTTAAAGATTTCGTATTACTTAGTTCCACAATCAACACCAGTGGAAGCAGCAATCACAACATTAGATGACATACTGCACTGGGCAAATCTGCTGCAAAACACCTCTTTAAAGTGCTGAAGAGCAAAGATGTCTCCTTGAAGACTAAGGTGCACCTAACCCAAGCCATGGTATTTTCAATTGCCTCATATACATGTGAGTGCTGGACAATGAACAAAGAAGACAAAGAGCTGATACTTTTGAATTGTGGTATTGGCGAAGAATATTGAAATTACCATGGTATGCCTAAAGAAGTAACAAATCTGTCCTGGAAAAAGTGCAGCTGGGGTGCTCCTTGGAAGCGAGAATGGCCAGACTTCATCTCACCTACTTTGGTCATGTTGTCAGAAGGGACCATTCCTTGAGAAGGATATCACGCTTGGTAAAGTAGAGGGTCAATGAAAAAGGAGAAGGTCCTCAACGAGATGGATTGGCATGGTGGCTGTAACGATGGGCTCAGGTGTTGGCAAGGACTATGAAGGTGGCACAGGACTGGTCAGTTTTTAGTTCTGTTGTATATGGGGTCACTATGAGGCGGAGCCAACTGGACGGCACATAATAACCACAACCATTCATGAAGAACACAATTATTTATTGAGTGCTTGAAGTATGCCAGGAATTGTTCTAGTTACATTCTCATACTCTATTTCATTTTTTCTTTCGTTTTGATTATTTCATGGGAGGCAATATGTTTTGGTAAAAAGAACATGGCTTTTGAAAGAGAAATTCTTAGAGATTTATACATTGTGGTTTAATATCATGGTGACTAAGGAAAAGGCACAAAAATTGGATCTCAGATGTATATTAAAAATAAATAAAAAACACATCTAAGATGCATAGAGCCTGGCATAGAGTACACATTAAAAATTAGTATAATTTTTATAACTATTCTATGATGTGTATATATTATAATCCTTATTTTGCAGATTGAGTAATGGAGTTTTAGAGAAAATTCGTCTAAGTTGATGGAAGGAAAAAGTAGTCAGACCTAGACTTGAATCCATCTAACTCTAACATACTCTCTCTTTCTTTTTCACTTCCTGAATCTATATACCCAAGAAATTAAAGGCAGATATCCTGATCAGTTAGAGTCCCTGGGTTATGCAAACAGAAAGGACTATTGAAAATGCTTTCTCAAATATTCACCTGGGTACATTTCTGTCTCCTATGTCCTAATCTTTAAAGTGTTAAAAAGCAAAGATGTCACTTACAAGACTAAAGTGTGCCTGACCCCTTTCAATTACATATTATACATGTAAAAGCTAGTTCATGAATAAGGAAGACAGAAGAAGAATTGTTGTACATGAATTATGGTATTAGTGAAGATTATTGAATACACAATGGCCCGTCAGAAGAACGAACAAATCTGACTTGTACAGCTAGGCTGTGCCTTAGAAATGAGGTTGGTGAGACTTTGTCTCACCTACTTTGGACATGTTATCAGGAGAGGCCAATCCCAGGAGAGGGACATCATGCTTGGTAATGTCGAGTGTCAGTGAAAAAGAGGAAGACCCTTAGTGAGATGGATTGACACAGTGGCTGCAACAACATAACATAATGGAACAATGATTGTGAGGGTGGTGCAAGATAGGGCAGCTGTGAGTCACAACCAACTCAAGGGCACCTAACAACAACATCCTTATCTAGTTTTCAGATCTTTCATTCCATGGACTATTCTATTATTAGCCTCATTTGTCAATTCTCCTTACGGTAGATGCGGTCTCTCTTTTTTCCACCTGCCAAGCACAACAATGATTTTTAAAAGAAATTAAGCAGTTCCTCTAGGAAAGATTTCTTGACAATTAAAGTGTCAATCCTTCCTCTTTTTTTTTTTTTTTTTTTTTTAAGAACCAAAGTGCTGAACATAAGGAAGGCCTCTTTGGCCATTGTACTTCTAAGGGAGAAGTTCTCTCTTAAAGAATGACAAGCAAACTTTTACCCATCTACACTGAGTCTGACACTCATTTTTTTCATGTCTAGGTGAAATTACTTGTCAGCTTCCTTCCAGCTCTAGGATTTTGTGATTTATCTTATTAAGGATATGTTCGTCTAGTTGGCTATCATCTTTCTTTAAATATGACTTACATATCACCCCAACTACTCTCTGTTAGGTAGTACAAATTGGAAAAATACAGAGTATTAGATGACCCCTGTGCACCAACCAAGTGTTTGAAGAATTCTATTTCTCTCTTTTCTATACAAAACATAATACTTTTTTATTATGCTGTAATACAAAAAAATTAAGTTATATGAAAAAGTTGACCTCTTCCAAGAAATATTCTTTCACTTTATTTCCTAATAACTTGAACTTGCTGTATTTACAATGTCTAAGTGGTGGAAAGTCATTATACATTTAAATAAGTCCCTGAAATGAGGGATTCTTTATTTAGTACTTTTCCTTCCAACATCTGATATTTAATGGTAAAATGAATTGGATGCCTCAAATATAAAGCATTGGGAATCAATTATAATTTCCAATTAACAATACTCAACTGATGGAGAAGATAGCAGGGGCCTGCAAAGAAACTGATATTTGACTTGCATGAAAATCTGAGTATAATACTGTTATGTAGAGTAATAGACTTCAGTGAGCATTAAATACATGGATGCCTCATGCTTTGTAATGAAACCTTACATCCAAGAGTCCTTATACATTTTTAACAACATGGATAAGAAATAAACGATAATACAGAAACTTTTCACATTGAAAATGTATTTTTTAAAATGAAATAACTATAATTAGTTATTAATTCATGTATAGCTCTCAACACCTGGTCAGGACTGAACCTAGAACTTCTGTGTGGAATTAGATGCACTTTTTAATATACTGGTTTCATTTTTTTTTCTCTTTCTTATCTATAGAATACAGATCCCCTTAAAAGAAGATCCCATTATTTAATATAATGAGAATTTTAATACATCCTTCCTTATCCATTTAACTGATATATATTCATATTTGTAAGTTATTTATATGCTGTTATCAGGAAGGGGAAAGGAATTCAGATTCATGAGCTGTTTTATATTCTCTTTAAGGCCATTAAATTAAAGTCATTAAATGCATCAAAATACCAAAAATATCCAGGTAAAAGTTATAATTTTGTTGTTGTTGTTTATTTGTAAGTTAGATGTTTTGTCTCTTGTAAACTCAGTCTAAGAGAAATTTCATCACTTGTATATCTACACCAGGAAAATATAAGTGTAAGGTAAGTTGAATCCCTAATGTAAGTTACATAAGTGTAATATAAATTAGAATGTTTAAGTCCTTTTAATTGTATTAAATATAAAGGCAGGTGTAAATATAGATACCAAATAATCTGTCTTACTTTTCCTCTATAAGCTGAGTGGAAAGATGATTTTAAACATGATGACACAGATAAAAATTGCTCAACTTGTGAAGATTGATTTTTTTCTGAAATAAATTGTTATACTATTCTAATTACTATATTTTCTGTATCATCACTAAGTTTTTACTAAAAAACAAAAACAAAAAAACTGTGAATTACTTACCCCAGTTCTTTGAACTTCCATAAAGGTAGCTCTTTGGAATGACTTCTCCCAGACAGCTAGCTCACTTCCAAGTTCTACATTAAAAAAATGACTCTTGCCATGGCCAACCATGACACTGAAGCAATATGGCCTCTGGTCTTCAAAATCAAAGTCTTGAATACCCAGATATAAGTTTGCTTGTAACCAGCAGTCATCAGTAAGCCAGAACTGAAAAATATAGCATGGATTAAAAATACTTAGAGTTGGAACATAGTTCAGAGAATGAAGAAACCAACCTCTCCATTTTACAAAGTTACTATTAGGAGATGAGTGGAGAGGGATGCCAGGGTGGTGAACAGTGCATTGTGTTGTAAACTTTCAGTTATACACTTCAGGAACACAGTGTCATAGTTGTATACAGCTTATTGGAAATATACCCATAAATAATTGTTTGTAAGTAAATTACGGCTAATTTCTAGTTATCTGTTTTTCACTTAAAATGCTGGCAATCACAGCTGTATGGATATGTTTTACCTTAAACATAAAGAGAAAAATCAGGAGGAACCAGGTTCATGTTCAGCATAAAACCAGCAAACAGTTAAAATACCACACTAAACTAAACATTATACTTATGCTGACAGTATTAAGCTCTTCTTCACCTCCTATGTTTGTCTCCTAAAACAAAGGACATAATACTCAGAATATCTGTGAAGTATTACAAGATACTTAGTCATCCATGATCCAAATATGCTAACCAAAGGTGTTGAACAAAATAGAATAAATACTTTAGAAATATTTTCAAATGCAATGGTTAAAGTAAAGAAAAGCTGTTCAACTTCTGCTTAAAAATTTAACTAGATAATATAAAATAACCACAGAATGTCTATTAATCACAGATTTGTCTTGTGAATTATTATGGCAATTTTTAATTTGTGAATACTGCAGTGCACAAAGATTTCAATGATTTATCATCACTTATTTTCCCTCGGTTTTGTTTACAAACTCATTTAAGTAACAGCCCAACATCAGAATTCACTTGTCTCAAAGTTGTTAGTTGCCAACTTATGGTAACAGCACGCACAATGGAACAAAAGCCTGCCTGATCCTGAGCCATCCCCATGGTTGGTGGGAATTGAACTGTAGTGATCCATAGAATTTTCATTGCCTGATTTTTGGTAGTGGATCACCAGGTCTTTTTTGCTAGTCTATCTCAGTTGGGAAGCTCAGAAGAAATATGTTCAGCATCATAGCAACACACAATCCTCTACTAACAGATGGTGGCTTCACATGAGACACACTGATTGGGGATTGAACAGGGGGTCTCCTGTATGGAAGGGGATAACTGTACTACTGAAATGCCAATGTGCCTGTTTCAATGTTGTTGTTGTTATTGTTATGTGCCGTTGAGTTGGACCCGACTCATAGCGACCCCTCCTTGGGTTTCCAAGGCAGTATCACTATGGAAGTAGATTGCCCCATCTTCCTTCTGAGAAGTGGCTGGTGGGTTTGAACCACCAGCCCACTGGTTAGCAGTCAAGTGCCTTAGGCACTACGCTACCAGAGCTCCCATTTCAGTGTTAGGTATAGCCAAAGATTTGAAGTTCTCTGTTCAGTCTGTATCATCAGGACAATGATGTGGAAACATGACATAAGCAAATTCAGGGTCTGTCTGATCTTTCTTTCTCTCACTCTTTCTTTGTGTTTGTCTCTCACTCATTCACTTATTCCAGTCTTCACATCATTCATTCATTCAAAAAATTCCACAAATGTACACTGAAGAGCTTATACCTGATATCGCACTGGAACACTGTGCTTCAAAATCAATTTTGTTTGCCCACAATCATCATAATGAAAAGGAATGAAGGTAGACACCTCTGCCAAGGTTTCTAAACAGCCTAAGGAATAGTTATGTTTACTTCAGTTAAGCATATTGTAGCAGAAAGGAATAGAATGCTGCCCGTATGTTTGGCCTTTACATTGTGATTTTGAGGTATTTTGTTAAACTCACATCATCCATCCACCTCAGACACATTATATTAAATGTTTCTTCAAAACCCCATAACTCAGCAATTCACTAAATGGTTTTATTTGAAATATGCTTAATTTGTACTTGGTAGCTACAACTTTTTATAGGTTGTAAAATCACTACTGTTGTGTCTAGGTCGACTTCCCAAAAGGTTCTCCTCTGTGCTTTCTCCATGCTTCTCATCATCCAGTATATTGCACATTTATTCTTTTTTTCTTTCAATTTTTATTTTTATTGTGATTTGGGTGAAAATTTACAGAGCAAATACACTTTCCATACAGCAGATCACATACACTTTGTCTCATGACATTGACC